CGGAACATTTCTTCTCTGGGCTCAGTTCTAAAACCATGTCTCTTGCTCCCTTCAGTAAGGTGACCCCTCCAGTGGTGCAGCTAATATTATGTGTGAGTAGAAAAATAAGTGACACAATCCACACAAGATCCATGGAGGGGATTTATCTTAGGATAGAATTTTTCAATGACACTCGTTAATGTGTGTGAATCTCCTTTGGTGGAATTTCACGGGGTGAAATAGAAAAGGACAAGGAAATGCCGAGAAGGACAGGAGAATTTTTGGCATGGTGATGAGACATCCTTCTTCAAAGCCCACCCTGTCTCCAGGTAAATATTCACAGAGACAGTAGGAATAATGGATGAAGGTTACAGTGACTCAGAACTACGGTTCTCACTCCCCCAGAAGCTCTTACCATCTGCCAAGTGGAGCCCGTTTGTGGGTGGGAATAGGAGGAAGTGGGTGCTCCAGACCAGACGGGCAGAGCTCCTGTTGCAGAGACAGCTGTGGACCCAAGGCTTACGTGGGTGGGCAGAGCAAAGACGGCAGAAACCTGTTGCTCAATTTTTATCTCAAGGAAAATGAGCTCTGAGTCAGGTTGAAGGTCTGGTCATTCTAGGTGCTCCTACACAGTATTTACCAGGAACCAAAACTTCTAAAGTGGAGGCAACCTCAACTCTGTGGGTTAAGAAACAATAGGAGACCCAAAAGACAGAGAAAATGCTGGAACGGAGCCTGGTGAAGGGTCGAAGGCAGTTATCTGGATGGGATGGGGGCTGAAGGACTGTGGATATTTAAATTCTCATTTCTGTTTTTTGGTATTTTATACATGTTCTTCTAGGAGCAAGTACTGCTTTTATAATTAGAAAAAAGTATAGAGGATATTTTTATAGAGAGGAGGGGGAAAGTTTATTGGATTTGCCTAGATCATGAGATTGTGACTGGGTGGAGATAACTGATAAATTCATCTATTTTTAAGCCACACAAATCTAGGAAGTGTACAACATCTAGAAATGTAGGAACTTTGAGTATAGATTCTGTTCTTCCTGTCTGGAATGTGCACGTTGAAAGAAAAATCTCATTTTAAATTTTTTTACAATGTTTTACTTTAAAAGAGTACTGTATCTTCTACACTTAAAACTTTTTTTCCCCTCTAGTTTTGAAAGTGTTCCCCTTTTTCTTTTGGCTGCCAGGATGCTCAGAGCTAAATTTGGGGTTTAGTCTGGGTTGTTAAGGATAACAAACAGCCATCTCTTCCCTCCTTTACTTAATGCCCATTCTTTCATGCTTGCTTGAATGATTTTAGTGATTACGTTTTTATTACAAGCCCCCTACAATCCTTTTGGCTGGGAGTAGAGTAATAGTAAATGATGTTATTTGACAGAGAAACTGTGAATTCAAGAGGAGCAGGGATTTTCCTCAGTTACGGTGTCAGAGGTGAGCTCAGATGGTGCTGGACTCCACACTTGGGTCACTGAGCTAGAATCCAGCCTCTGAGATTCCTCATCCAGTGCTCCTTTCATGCTGCCAAGCTAGCAGAGGACAATGCGCTTAGCTTCTGTGACTGCTTGTCACGGATGGTGACAGAGGGACCATATTACCTTCCACTCCCGGTTACGCCCACCTGGAAAGGTGGGAAGTCATTTGCCAGGTGGTGTGGGCCCTGCTGTTGCCCCACTCCTGGAAGCACCCTCTCAGAACCAGTCAGGCAGGGCTGCCACAGCCGACGGTGACAGTATTTCCCAATCTCGGTTTCAGAGCAAGGTGAGTTCTTCCAGAGGCTTACTGTCCTCATCCTGTCCTGGTTTGGTGGCGTTTCTGTTCAAACCTCTGTCCCTCTGAGGGTTCAAGTCTCCCCACGTGTCCTAGAGCACCGCGGTCCCGTCGCCCAGCGTGGCTGGGGGTCTGGCTGTGTTATTCCGCTTGGCTACCAGGACACAGCTCCACAGGCTGTGGTTTAAGCTGCAGACGTCGCTGCCTCACAGTTCTGTAAAGCGGAAGTCCAAGATCAAGGTGTCAGCAGGGGCGGCCCCTTCCAAGGGCTGTGAAGGATCTGTTCCAGGCTGCTCTCCTTGGCCTGTGGACGGCGATCTTCCTTGGTGTCGTCACTCAGCTTCCCTCTGTGTGAGTCTGTGTCCAAACTTCCTCTTCTCACGAGGATACCAGTCCTACTGGCTTTGGTCCCATGCTAGTGACCTCATGTTGACTTAATCGCCTCTCTAAAGACCCTACTCCAAATCCAGTCACCTTCTGGGATTCTGGGGTTCAGGACTTCAGCACAGGACTCTGGTGGGGCACAGTGCAGCCTGCAGGCTTGCCCCCCACTCTGCAGAGGCCTGGGTGCTGCATGGTGCTGAGTGACCAGGTCAGCCGGACCTCCCTATGTACTGTGGCAAATCCCCCCATCCCTCTGCCTTTGATTTCTTCACAGGAAGCCACTGCCCACCTGGCAGCATTGTTCTGTGGATTAAGGGTCATGCCGAAAAGTGCTGGCACCTGGGAGGAGTGCAGGAAGAAGGTGTGGTGACTGTCCCTGACACAGAAGGACCAGCCTTTGTGAAGAGGAGGTCCTGCCTGCTCTCCTCCTGAGCTGATGGGTCAGTCACACCAGGACCAAATTCTGCCCGGGCTGTGTAGGCGCCCTCTCTCTGAGCTGCACACCAGCATCTACCGAACAGCATCTGGAGCTCAGCCCGGTGTCTTGTCCAGTGACATTGGCACCCTTGGCTTCTCGACAACTCTCGGATCTGGGTGTGGGTCTAAACTCAGTGTCGGTCCTGCCCATTTCTAGGGCCTCGCAGTCCAGCGTCGTGTCTTCACCTGTGGCTCTTTTGCAAGGCTCAGAAAGCTCCTAGGTCAGTTCCAGGTGACTCCTGCCAGCATGCCAGAAGGAGCCACCACCCTGTCTCAGTCAGAGCCACCACATTCCAGGCAAATGCCAACTGGCACAGACTTCAAGAAACGATTGTAGCCATTGCTCCTGTTTCTTCCAGATGGAAGAGTGCATTATTGGGGTCCCCTCTAGTGTGCATTTCACTCCCCTCCATGAGGCAGAGGATGCCGGGCTTATCCCTGACTCGCAGGGGGAGATACAGGAGTTAAAATGAATCTGCTCAAGTCACATGTGGACAAGAAGGCACAAGCTCCAGACTCCCATGTCGCGTCCTTGTCCAATGTATGCACAGCATGACAAGCCTGGACCATCACCGGACATCAAGCCAACCTTGCCAGGCCACCTCATACATCAAGCGCACATTTAAATGAGCAGAATTTTACAGCTGCGCAGTATCCCTGTGCATGTACCATGGCTTATACAAATGATGCCCCATGGATGGAGATCACATTTTCGTGGAATGAAGTCACAACCTTGAGGAAATCTGTCATATGATTAAACCATTCCGGATGGCTGCTTCTCCTCACTCAGGCTACCTTGGCATCTTGTAGTCCTGCTCAGCAGCTGTCTTCTGTGCAAGGGGCTGGCTCTATTTGTTCCCACCTGGTTAATATCCTGGATAAGGTTCTAACTAGAGTTTTAATTCCAGCACCGCCTCAAAAGCAGTGTTGTGAGGGAGAAGCAGGGCGTTCCTGTTCAGTGAGTACTGAGTGTCAGCTCGGGAAGGCAGACACCTGGAGAGGGAGGGTGGTGGACGCACCACAGTGAGAATCCACCTGATGCCAATGCACCCTATGCTTAAAATGGCTAACCTGATACATTTTATGTATATTTTAGCTCAATTAAAATAGCAGGATCTATGGGAAAACCCCCAAATGTATTGAAGAATAGCAATAAATTCCCAAGAAACTGCCCCTCCAGGCTTCATTAGTAACTAAGGGAAGATCTAATTGATACAGATGTTTCCCCGCAGGGTCAGCAGCTGATGTCCCAACTTAGAGACGGCTCCTCTCCCCACTCTTGTAATAAGCCAGGGTTGGCCACCTTCCAAATTTACCTTTATCTGACATGGGCTGTTTCTGGACTTCTATTTATACTACTACATGGTGACTTGAGTTTTATGGTTTCTAGATGAGGCGTTTATGACTAGACAATCCAGCTCAGCGCCAGGCTCTTCTCCCAGACCTGCTGATGTTTGTCTTGAGCTTTATTGGTCTGGGCTGGGATGTCAGTGGCGTGGAGTAAATGTATACTGCAAAGTCCCAGTGGCATCATGAGTGTGTAAGCAGGCTGTGGATTCTGGTGGGTCACGGCGACCCTTCGCCACCTCTTCATCTCTTCTCCCTCTTGCCTTACCATTAGCAAATGTTTCAGATGCCACAAGGCCCTTGGCTGCTGGGTGCCCAAGAGGTGCAAAGCATCTTAAGTTTTCTTTCCTTAACTGGTCACATAAGAAGACAGCCTTGACAGCCCTTCAAGGCAAAAACCCAGCTATTTTTATTACTTTGTTCTGTATTTTATTTAGTTTCATCACTGGAACTACATGGGGATGAGTGACAGGGAGCTGATCTACCTTCTGGGACCAGCAGGCACACCAGAAGCAGAAACAGCACCTGTGATCCAAGCCATCATGTGACCTGGTTCAGGGATCTTGACCATGTGGGGCATAGGGGGTGCACCTGGCTGCCTATGCATTATCCCAGAGTTCTCATCTTGAAAGCCAGTAAGGGAGGGGAGAAAGATGGACTTCTTGCTATGACTGAAGGGGAAAAGCCAGAGGTCACAAGGTAGGTACCCATGTGCACTTGGGAGTAACTGGTATGATTTAGATCCTGAGCATGGTCTTCATGCAGGTCCTCGGAAGACGTGACCCCTGCTTGTGAAATCTGTATCACAGAAACTTCCACAAAAGCAGAAAAACTGGTATCATCATGCTTCCCCACACACCCAACTTCAGTCTCAACAATGACCAGCATTCTGTCAGGCCTGTGGTCTCTACTCATTGTTCCCCCTGCCCCCAAGTATTTTAGAGAAAATTTCAGACCCCATGTGATTTCACCCTTGAGGATTTTGGTATCCTGTTCCCTTAGGACTGCTCAAGAATAAACACCCAGCGGCCACTCCCAAATGGTCAGAATGTCATTTTAATACAGACGTGGTACAGATGTTTAATTACAGCAGGGCAGTGATTCCAGTTAAATAAAATTAAAAACCTTTATTTTCCCAAATATAAAATTACTAAATTAATGTCTTAAAAGAAAATATAACATGGTGACAGCTTTCAATTACACCACCATTCACCACAGGATTTATGATTTACCAATTACATACTCCACCATTTTGGCAAAAGGATGAAATTCTTAAAACAGTTTATAAACCTAGTAAAGACTGTGTACATCTCCATATTGCACATTTTTATGTACAAGAATAAAAGAGTCAAATGTATTGCATATACTGAAACAGCACAGATTGATCACAATGACACTTAATGCAGAAGCTGATGTATTAAAAACGTAGAAATGTAATACATGTATGTACAGAATGCTGGGACTGCATTAACAGTGATATGTACATAACAATATACTGTACTACTTTGTACTTTTCAGCATAGTTGTGTTTATTAATATAGGCCTTTGGTTCTAAATTGCTCGACTAGTTTTAAGCTCACATAATCCCTTAAGCTTTCATATTTTTTTAAATGCAAGGAAATGAGTATAAAAGCACTATCTCCTGGTTCACTGGTACAAAAATTACAACGGTCAGTTCCCTTAGGTCATCAAAAACTAGTCACAAAAATAGTTCTTGTATTCAACCTGAATGTGCCACAGGAAAAAAAAAAATATTTTCAAGATTTTCCAGCTTAGCCTCGAAGCAAAAGGCGCCCCCAGGCATCAATGTCAGTGCGGCCCTCCCTGCCATGTATAGATCCCAGAACCTTTTTTCTGTAGGCCATTTATTCTAACACTACTCTGCAAGGAAGAATAAAATCTAAGTCCAGCTCAAGAGTGTCTACCACACCTTTGTTAAGACACAATGAAAACTTTGAATATTGCCAGTGAGATTTAAAAAAATATGTGCACCCTCTTACAACTCCTATAGAAAATCTGCTAAGAAATCACATAGTTCTTTATTTCCTTTCTCTCCCCTTCCCCTTGGCTTCTCTCTGTGCTCGGTCTCCCCAGTGATTGGCTTTGGAAAGCATCCTGAGTTTGCAAATGACAAAGCAAGTTCCCACGCACGGGCCATGACGTGTCATCACACAACTGAAGACGAGCTGGTCATCCCGTGAACCATTGTGCTTGTTGGAGTCCCGCTGATGGCATTGAAGATGTGAAGGGAATTCGGTAACACGCTCGTCTTCTCCTCCAGGGGGCAGATCTTGAGGCCAGAAACACAATGTTACTGAGTGTAAGGGAACGTTACCATGTATGACACAATGTTGCCATTGCCACGTGTACTACAACGTTACCAAGTGTAACAAAATGTTACAGAGTGTAAGGCAAGGTTTCCACTGTACAATGTCACTGAGTGTAAGGACACAAACAGATATTTCTCAAAGCACTGCACCCACATCACACACACTAATCATCATCTGAGACTCACTCCAACACGTGAGTGATGTGCACCCAGAAAGCCTGGCTGGTGGTCTGCAGAGGGAGACTCAGCTTATCTAGCGAATGACTGTTTTCAGGTAAGGATTATAAGGAGAAAGTCAAGAACAGCACATTTTGTTTCCTTTACAAGCTAGTGAACCGACAGCCTTCTACACACCAGGTCATAAGGCAACTTGAGGTCTACTTACATGTGCTTGACTGGGACACAAACCTAAAGGCTTGAAACAGCCTTTAAAAATGAATTTGGAGCATTTGTGTTTCTCTCCTGCCTCCTTTTCTCAGGGTCTTACAGACCTCGTCTTGGGGGAGGTTGGCTACCCCTCTGACCCTGACCAAGTGTCCTTCCATGCCCAGTGGTGCCTGGAAGGATCTGAGCGTAGGTCTTTACCTCCAGCAGAGGCTCCCCTGGAAACACCAAAAGCAAGTCTACCCCCACCACGGCCCTTCAGGGGTTCAGAGGGGCCCAGTCTTCCTAGTTGTTGGCATAATGGGGAGTTCAGGGTGAAGTGGAGAGCAAGCACGTTACATTTCCCTGTACTTTGGGAGCTGAACGGTTTCAACCCTTGAGCTCTTCCTACTTTCATCCGTCTCTAGTGCTCAATGCCAGCACCCACTGATTGAACGCTCCGTTCATAGGAATCTGGAGGCTCCACAGAAAAGATCTCAAGTTTTCCCCCAAATTGGTTCCCATGAGTCCCTTCTGTTCTGCTTAATTATTCAGACATTCATTTCTCAAATTGTTTCAATTTTTTTCTACTTTTTTTTTTTTTTTTTTTTTTTGAGATGGAGTCTCGCTCGCTCTGTCGCCCAGGTTGGAGTGCAATGGCCTGATCTTGGTTCCTTGTAGCCTCCACCTCCCAGGTTCCAGCAATTCTCCTGCCTCAGCCTCCCGAGTAGCTGAGACTACTGGCATGCACCACTATGCCCAGCTAATTTTTGTACTTTTTAGTAGAGATAGGGTTTCACCATGTTGGCCAGGCTTGTCTTGAATTCCTGACCTCAGGTGATCCACCTGCCTCTTCCTCCCAAAGTGCTGGGATTACAGGCGTGAGCCATGACGCCTGGCTTCTACTTTTAAAAATGTCCAGAGGTGCTTTCCTCTGCCCATGTACTGCCATTATGCCAATGTCTGCAGCTGCTCAAACTGAAAAATGTAATAGCTTTTTCTGAGTCAGATTATCAGAAAAATAAAATTAAAAAATGACATTACCATCCCAGCTGAACGTGTTAGCATGGAGGAGAAAAAAAGCAAGTGAGTTAAAGCTCACACACTGGCATTCGTTTCCTGCAATGAAAATGTCCTAAGTGAACCGTCAGGGGAGAGGACAGCGGCCACAAATGACCCTGGCTTCCACTGTGCCAGAAGGAAGGACGGTCATGGAGGGACCAGACAGAGGAGTTCAGGTATCAAGGTGCTAATGTCAGTTATGAAGATGGGACAGTGCCTTGGACAAACCCCTCACAAAACAACAATGTGGATGCTGCTGTAGGCATTCCCTGGGCACTAGTCACCTCTGTGACGACTGAGCCCACACATGGAATTTGACTGAAGAAACCCAAAGGAAGGAGATAATGGCAAAGTAATCAGGGAAGATGCCCGTGATGACCAGGACCTTCCAGGAAGACTCTGCTGGGGGCCAAGGTTGGCTGTGCACAGTCAAAAATTGAATCGCCCATATTTTTAAATGGCAAAAACATTGAATGCAACAGACAATTCTTAAACCAGTTGGCAAGTCCTGCTTTTTTCAAAGGATTAGAGGAATAAAGTTGTAAGAACAGTGGATATTTTTGAGTGAGTTTTTCCTTTCTTTTCTTTTTGGCTACACAGGGGTGGGGAGAGAGAAAGCTTAGAGAACCTGTCCACCTCTTAGAGCCTCGCGGAGGCGGGCCTGCTCTCCCCACTTGCTGTAGATAACAGCCTATGGGCAATCTGCTAGCTGTTCCCATATGTCCTGGGGCCAGAGCATGGCAGGAGTGTGGTATGCTACATTCTCCTTCAGAGGTCACAGTTCTGGAAGGAGATCAGGCGGTCTAGGTCATTACAGGGTGCGCTTGAGACCCCTAACCAAGAACTCCAAGCTGTTGGCGCCAGTGTGGAACTTACCTGCTCATGCATGATTTCAGAAAGCTCTTTCGCCATTTCCCTGTAGTTGGCTTTCATTTCTTCCTGATACTCTAGCTGGTCTTCTTTAATCAGACGTTCATTTACTGCTAAGGCTTGACCGCAAGCTTCCACAAACTGCCTGGAATGGTACAGGTGGGGAAAACAAAGGCACACAGAGGACAAGGCATGAGTCCAACCAGCAGCATCTCTTTCCGAATGGACACGGAAATGACCAACACTTGAAGAGAAAAAGATGTTTTCAGTGAGCTTTACCTGAAGACTTCCTTCAGTAACTTCACTTTATTGTCGGGATATCGCTTTGTGTTTGTGTCATCTAAGAAAGCTCGTGCATATGCCAGTGGGCCAGCGTTGACCTGGAGAAAGCAAAGAGTTCCAATTGCATTAGGGAGAAAATTACCACAATCATTGGTTCAGCTTCTGTTTGCAGGGACTAAAAAGCCGGTTTGCATGAGCTAGTCACAATCCCTGCCTTCCAGGAACTTAAGCCTGAAAGGAAACCATCAAGCTCACTCTGTTACACATCGCTTGATTCCATGACCTCAGTCATCCTCAGGGCACTTGTGATGATGGCTTATTTTATGTAAGAAGAAATCAATGCTTGGGAAACTTAGGGGCCTGTTCAAATTTGAACAGCCAATAAGCAAAACACTAGAGATCACAGCCCAGGTCTTCCAACTCCAGGTCAAGAATTTCTACTTCCAAGGTGTTTAGCCACTGGGATTTGCGCTGTGCTACACTGAAGTAAAAGGCCAATTTGATGAATTCAGTGAGAAATGGAAAAATATAGTAAATATTCCGGTTTTTAAAAACCAACTGTTCATTTCATTGAGTTGCGTAGACAGCCACGGGGATGACGTGCACATTTGAGGTAAGCTGGAGAGCCAGATGTCAGGAGCAGACAGCAGGGTGACTGAACCAGAACTCTGCATCCCCCTTTCAAGTAGCTAAGAAGAGTCTGCTGATTTTGGATATGTAAGAAAAGATAAGAATGTGGTGAGAAAGAAGGTTGGACACACTGGGATGGGAAGAAGAAATGTTCCAGGCATCTGAGGCAGCCTGAGAAAGAACGTGACTATGTGATCATTGGATGGTATTTCCCGGAAGTTCTGGTGAGCTTAGAAGGAATTAGGGAGAGCGGTCCACGTGTGGTTCTGATCCACGGTGTGCAGCACTTGTCTAGCAATGGCAGGAAAACTGAGCCACAGGAACTCACACCAGATGTGGGGAGACAAGAGGGTTCTAGGCACAGTGGTCAGGGGAGGGCCTCTGAGTCAGCAATTAACAGCCCAAGGTGTGTGAGGGCAGAACTCAGCACCAGGCTGGTGTGTGTGGGGAACCGTATCAATCACCTGAAGATGACCCAAATGACTGATGGTCTAAGATGATACAAGACGGTCCATATTTGAAGAAGACAGAAAGAGGAAGGCTGTTGAGACTCCATAAGGCCTAATAACAAGATCTTGGCGTGCAATGCCAAGAAGCTCCACAGAGGGCTCTGCCCAGTAAAGCTGCAGTGCCAGTGAGCTGCTTGATGAAACGATGACAGAAATAAGCAAATAAAATGATAAAGTTAATTTCCTCTGGCTGGAACTTTGTTACCTTGGTAGGTACGAGTATAAACTTTATCTCCTCATTTCAACATGGAATTTCTTGCTGTTAAAGATAACTGGGAATTTTATAAAACGCTAAGGTTGCCATCAAATTAGCAGGGCATACTGTGCCTTTTAGAAAGTTCAATGGGCCAGGCCAGGCGAAGTGGCTCACGCCTGTAATCCCAGCACTATGGGAGGCCAAGGTGGGTGGATCACCTGATGTCGGGAGTTCAAGACCAGCCTGACCAACATGGAGAAACCCCATCTCTACTAAAAATACAAAATTAGTCAGGCATGGTGACGCATGCCTCTAATCCCAGCTACTAGGGTGGTTGAGGCAGGAGAATCGCTTGAGCCTGGGAGGCAGAGGTTGCGGTGAGCCGAGATGTGCCATTGCCTGGGCAATAAGAGTGAAACTCCATCTCAAAAAAAAACAGAAAGAAAGAAAGTGCAATGGTCCAGCCCTACCCTGGACTGGTGCCACTCCTTTCCAGTGGCCTTTCCATAGGGGCTGGATGTTCCCAGATCATGATGATTGAGTGCTTTTGTTTTTAGCTACAGAAAATTGTGGCCTCTGGCCCTGTTATGTAATCACTGATGTTGCTGGAATACCTATGTTCACTTGCTACTTATTTTGGTACATACGTCCTTGAGACTATAAGGAGAGAGATTAAAAACAGCTGTAAATACTTTTATGGTGAATGACACTTACAAACATGTTAGGCAAACCACTCATGGTTATTTAGTGTGGATCTGATGGGAAGTTGACAAAATAGAATTTCAGAAAATGACCAAAACCTATGTATTATAATCTACATGTAATTTTCATAAGCATACCCTTCTTGTAAGATGAAACAATCGGTTACACATATACATATATACACACATATATACACACACATATATACACACACATCTACACACATATACATATATACACACATATGCATACATACACACATATACATATATACACATATACATATATAACATATACACATATCTACATATATACACATATACATACACACATATATACATATACGCACATATACACACATATATACACACATCTACACATATATACACATATGCATACATACACATACATACACACATATACATATATACACATATACATATATAACATATATACATACACACATATACATATATACACATATACACATATCTACATATATACACATATACATACACACACATATATACACATATACATATATACACACATATACCTACACACATATACATATATACACATATACACATATACACACAGATACACATAGATACGCACATACATATTCATATATACACACACATACATATATACACATATACATACACACACATATATACACACATATACATATACACACATATGTATACACATATACATATATATACACATATACATATATACGCACATATACATATATACACATATACATATATATATATATATAAATATGTGCTTGAACTATTTATATACACTTAAAAATGCCAAGAAAGCAAGAGTCATACTTGTTACTGGAGGGAAGTGATTTAACTTTTAGCAATCAACTAGGAAATCATATAAGTAAGGTAACTTTTTAAAAACCTCTTACTAAAGTATAACATACAACGGGAAAGTGCATATATCACAAGTGTGAAGCTTGATGAATTTTCACAAACTGAACATATATATTAGTATCTAGATCAAAGATGACCTTTTCAATAAAGGGTGTATATCACTTGGAAGGACATGTGGAAAAACGATATCTTGACCCTCACGCTATAACATATACAAAAATCAATTTCAGATGGACTGCAGACCTAAATGTGGATGCTGAACAAAGGAGGAAAACATAGGAAAGCATCTTGGAAATCATGGAGTAGACACAGATTTCTTAAAGAGAACATGCTACCAGTAAAGAAAAAATTGATTGGGCTATATTAAAATAATGAATTTGTTAATCAAAAGATATCATTAAGAAAGTAAAACTTAAGGTACTTTTTTGGATACAATTTTCGTGGCAAACAGAAAACACAGTTTTCTAGGAAAACCTACCGCTCTCTACTCTTCCTTGTATTTAGAAGAGTCTTGATGTTCTAATTGGGCACCCAGAATTCCCCAAATACTGACAGATCAGGGCTGTGTATGGAGATCTGGCTCTTGTCCCCCACAGGCAGCCTAGTCAGTCCTCAGGGCTGGGGGTCCTGAGGCTTCCTCCCCCTGTGATACCAGGAGAAATGTCACAGCTGATGGGGTAAGGGAACAGGGATCACTTGGTAAGCCGAGGCTCTCAAGTAGGCCTTGTTGGTGGAAATGACTCTCAAGTCACCCAGGGGCAAGGGCTTCCCCTGCTGCCTTTGGCCTGCTGTGTCTGGCTCACCTGAACACTCACGCTGCCCTGGAGTTTGAGCTGCAGTTTGATCATGTCCACCTCGGCCGAGGAGCACAGCTGCCGGAGCTCCGCCACCTTCTTACTCATCTCGTCAATGGCCACCTCGATGGGGTTCAGGTCAGTGTGGTGCTGGTACATGACCGGGATGCGCTTCTTCACGTAAGGGAAGCAGTGTATGGCTACAGAGGATGAGAGAGTTACCCCACAGTTCGCACGCACTTTAGTGTTATTGAGGTGATTATTAGAAGTGATTGTTGTAGATGCCATTATTGCTTACATTTTAAAAATAAGGAGCCCAAAGCTTGCCGAAGGCACATACTAGTACTTGGTGGAGCTAGAATACTATCTTCCTTTACAATCGTGTAGCTCATAAAGTCAAGAGAGTTGGGTCCTTGTTATCCCTTTAATGTGACACGTGTGTCTTTAAATAAATCATGTTATCATTCCCCACTCAATTTTCTCATACAAGATGCCCTACCTTCCTTGGAAGCTCTGAGGTCTGAACGAGTTAGTGGATATAAGATGACTTTGACAACATAAAAAGACTGAACAATTCTGAGATACTATGTAACAGATTAAGTCCAGAAAATAGTTCCATAACAAATCCTAGAGAAAATCCATTTTTTCCATAGAATAACTTTGAATCACATGCTAAATTTGAATACATCTGAGAAATCAGTAGAAAATAACAAATAAGAATATATTCCTGGGTGGACACGGTGCTCACACCTGTGATCCCAGCATTTCGGGGGGCCAAGGCCAGTAGATCACTTGAGCCCAGGACTTTGAGACCAGCCTGGGCCACATGGCAAAACCCTGTCTAATTTTGTAGAAAACACAAAACTAAGCTGGGCGTGGTAGTGTGCGCCTGTAGTCCCAGCTACTGTGAAGGTTGACATGGGAGGAACACTTGAGCCTGGGAGGTCAAGACTGCAGTGAGCTGTGATTGCGCCACTGCACTCCAGCCTGGGCTACAGAGTGAGAGCCTCTCTAAAAAAAGAAAACAAACCCACCCCTTCCCCCAAGCCCAAACCAAAGAAACACAAAGAATGTATTCCTAAGCAAAACATTTCATGAACCAGAAATTCAGAAACCTTTGGAGCTGTAGTACTATACCTGGGGACCTACTTACAGCAATAAATAAGAAATAAAAACAAAAATATTTACTTTTTCATATATATATATATTTTTTTTTTTTTTTTTGAGACAGAGTCTCATTCTATTGTCCAGGCTGGAGTGCAGCGATGTGGTATCAGCCCACTGCAACCTCTGCCACCAGGTTCAAGCAATTCTCCTGCCTCAGCCTCCCAAGTAGCTGGGATTACAGGTGCCTGCCACTGTACCTGGCTATTTTTTGTATTTTTAGTAGAGACAGGGTTTCACCATCTTGGCCAGGCTGGTCTTGAACTTCTGACCTTGTGATCCACCTGCCTTGGCCTCCCAAAGTGCTGGGATTACAGGTGTGAGCCGCCGCACCCAGCCTCTTATATATATTTCAACCAAAAAAAATCTGATTGTTTTCCTTTATCGTAATAAGATACCTAAACATCAACACAAAGGTGTTAATTAAAAAATGAACAGAAAAACAGCAGGTTCTGATTTGGTCTGTTTCACATTTCTTACTGCTCTATATAGTATAGAGATATCTGTAATATTCCCACTTGCCATATATTTACTAATAGACATGTAGATATGTTCTTAAAAGCTTATTATTTTTTGTAAACAAGCAAAAGTCAGATGGGCGTGTTCCTGGTCTCTATCTAGCAAGTGGTTAGGGAAGAGTTTAACTGGGAAGGACTCATCACAGGATGGGAAACAGGGCCAGCCCCTGTGAAACACAGAGTTCTGATGGGCCACCCAACATCTGGACAAAGGCAGAAAAAATGTCCACCCTGAGACAACCTCATTTGTCACATACTTAAAGGCCTGTTGCCTTTCCACGTTTTATCTGGGAATGGTGAAGGGTTCCTGACTTGGTTTCACAGGTTTTAAATGGTAGCACTGGGGATCCATAAAGCTCCCTGGTAGGATGGTGAGGATGATGAGGACTTAGCCTCGGCCTTGATGCTCCCTAGCCAGGGAGGCGGCACTGCCAGAGGCCTGCTTGCATTTGGACAGAGGGCTGTGCTTCAGGGAGGAGTGGGACTGCCTTCCTGTTTCTGAGGAAGGAGCTCAACCCTGGTTCCCAGTCTCCTTTTGCTTTGCCTGGAACAGAGATGACATTCCATCGTGGGCATATTTGCTCATGTGGGTACTGTTTATCGTCTGTCTAGAATGCCAGCTGCATGGGCACACAGATGTCTGTTTCATTAGTGTGCCAAGTGGGAGCATGATCAGTGTGCCATACATTTTGTTGAATGAATGAATGCATTACTGCCCAAATGACTGCATGAGAGTCCAAATTGGCTCTGGAAAGTGGACAATTAGGCGACCGACTGAGCCAGCCCTTTAGGGGGGACGGGGAAGGTCCAGTGATGAGTATGGTGACTGCTACTCTGTGTGTCTTGAACAGAAGGTGGGGAGCAGGAGGCTAACCCAGGTGGGAATCTGGGCAAGATTTGGAAGACTCTGGAACAGTGACCAGGAAAAAAGTTCCTTGGCAGAAGGTCCATGAAAGAAATGGGGGAGGCTTCTCCCCACCCCGGTTCTTTGGGACAAGCTCAGAAATTTCCACTGAAGGAGGATGAAGGGTGATCATGAGGTTTTCAAGTGATTGCACAGTTACAGTCAGGCAACTGGGAACTATCCAGGAAGGTGAGCCTTTTCCTAGGGCGGGGCGGGGGGGCAGGGAAGTCTAGGGCTCCCTTTGATCTTTGGAATGCCAAAGGTCAGGTACAAAGCAATGCAATGAAAGAGGAACCTGAGGGGTTAATAACTTGAGGGAAAACCCTCAGTCCAGCCTTCAGAACACTCTAGTGTGTGTATCTTTAACTACAGGCTGATACAGAGTTTACATGTTTTCAGTGGCATTTTTATAACCTTTTCTCTAAATCTTCACACAGCCCAGTAACTACCATTTTGACATTTTGAGATCTCTCAGGGCAAAACTGGCACCTTTTCTTTGGATGTTCTGTTCAACTAGAATTCCCTTTAGCTCATCACCCCCAAGCAGCTCAACAGCGGATGAAATCTAGCAAAAAAAAAGCAGCACATTCTTTCCCCTGCTGCTTACTATTTACAAAGTTAAGACAATATAACGAGATGGGTGTCCTAACCCGCATTTTACAGATGAGGAAACTAAGGCACAGACAAGAAGAGTGACCTGCCCAAGGTCACACAGTGAGGCTGTGACACAGGCCTACAGGAACCCCAGGACAGCCTCGCTGCATCCGCCTTCTCAGCTCACAGCTGCAGATGGCAATCCCCAAGTCAACAACACAGGTGTCTGCCCCACCTCTCTCTGCAGCACACTCTCTGTCCCCTTGTTCCTGCAGATATGGAAAGCTGCTCATGTGCTTTATCTAATCTAGTCTCTAACAAAATGGTGAACTGTAACCCTGGAGAAATGTGCCCTGGGAAAACAGCCTATCGTAATGAATGTTTATGAATCAGTATGCTGCCTTAACAATAACCATAATAAAAAATCCTGACTGTGACTCAGCAGTGAACTAGTTTTATTGAAGGCAGCAGTTCTCAAATCTGAGTGTGCACCAGGATCGCTGGGAGGGCCTGTTGAACACAAGTAGCTGGACCTCGCCCCTAGAGTTTCTGATCCAGTGGTTTCAGAGGTGGGGCCCTGGAACTTTCATCTCTAACAAGTTCCCTGGGGATGCTGATGCTGCTGGTTCTGGACCAACCTTTGGTAACCACTGATCTAAAGGAACAGAAGGAAAGTCATCACAGCTGAACCATAAACACTGTCAGCTAGTGATTCCCATAAAATGATTCCATCTTGAAGTGCAGTTATCTCGATTAATGAGAATTTGCTACTGATGTATGCATTAAAAAAATTAATTATTTGGGGTGAGGTGATGTTTGTGAGAACAATATTATTTGTGCTTTATAAATGCTATCTCCTTATTTTAAAAGCAGGAGTAGGGACACTTTAAGAACACAGTTTTTTTTCTTTTTTTGAGATGGAGTCTCCCTCTGCCACCCAGGCTAGAGTGCAGTGGCATGATCTCAGCTCACTACCACCTTCACCTTCCAGGTTCAAGCAATTCTCCTGCCTCAGCCTCCCGAGTAGCTGGGATTACAGGCACATGCCACCACGCCTGGCTAATTGTTTTATATTTTTAGTAGAGGCAGGGTTTCACCATGTTGGCCAAGCTGGTCTTGAACTCCTGACCTCAAGTGATCCTCCCACCTCAGCCTCCCAAAGTGCTGGGATTACAGGTGTGAGCCACCGCAGCTGGCCTTTCAAAAAATCTTTTATCTAATTTCCTTCATAGGGAGTGTGAAAAGCTCCCTGCAATATGCTGTCCTGGGCTAATTTATAATAACCTGTATTTTTTTTTGGTTACAGCCTTATTTAGATATAAACCCCATGTCATCCAATCTGTCCCTTTAAAGGGTACACTTCACTGATGAGAGCTGATAAGCACCTGGGTGCAGCATCTTCACAGCGCTCCTTCTGCTTATTATGACAATGCAAATTATCATCCAGACAGAAACTCCACAACCCCAGCTTCCAGGAAGCAGGCCCTTTCCTGGTCTGATTTAACTAGGGCCACTCTTTTGAAGACGTGGTAGAAACGGACACACCCAGCATTCCGAACAGCCCTCTCACTGATGTTTCTTGGTGAGGAAAGCATTTTATGTTAGATTACCCCAGTGATGGCACTGATTCTAACTAGGCATGGCTGGGTCAAGCTCTCCCACGGAAGGTAAAAATCACCCCAAGATGACTAAATACTTGCCAGGGACTGGGAACTGATGCAAAACACATTTCCCAGATGGGTTATCACTGGCTAAACAGTGCCAAAGGGATCAGTGAAAACCGCCTAAGCTGAACTCAAGGACAGCCACTGAATACAGTGAGCTTTCCGGTAGAGGAGGCATTCAAGTGGCAGCTGGCCAGCTCCCATGGGCAATGAGGTGGGTTGATCCAGGCTCACATCCCATTTACCCACAGCCTGAAACTGCTGAGCAGGTCCAAGCTAGAACCTGAGACAGGTGTGTGAGATGGGTCTCTACTTGTGAGGAGATCCAGGACTGGGTTTGGCTGCTGGACCTGGAGTCCACAGTCACCTTACATCGTGTGCAAAAGCATCTGGGCACTTAAGTCCAGCCATTTTCATCAGATTCTCAGAAGAGTAAGTGACCTTATATCGGATATGAACTTTTGGTCTTGTGGAAGAAGGAAGTGTAAACAGATAAACAGAAACGTCCCAAGGATTCAAAGTAAGCACTAGGTAAATGTGAAGCTGAAACGGGGATGGCTAACTGAGCTTGAAAGGTCCTTCCAGTCCTGAGGCTTTCGAAGCCCTCTGGACAGCTCTTGGGCGGGGCGTCTGGGTTGCAGACGTGGCTCCAGGGCCATACCTGTGAGGATGGTGCGCCGTTTGCACTGCTCTTCCACCCCGCCCTGCCTCTTCCCGGTCTGCGTAAACGGCATTTCAAACATGAAGCGGCGGATGTTGTGGGATCTCTCAAACTCTGTTTTCCTTTCTTGTAACTCTTTTTCATCAAAGAATGGGATGACGTGAGTCACCTGGATATACGCATACTTGGAATCCAGATCCTTAGGGTTGACCTTTAATTGAAACAGCACAATGGTAGATTGGTGCTCCATGAAGGAATCTCTCAGTCCTTACCTAAGTGATATTTCCCAGCTTTTTATTAGTAAATATACCGGAAAAAAGAGTACAACAAACAGCCACATATCCACCACCTGGATCAACAACTGTTAGCAGTTTGCTATATGTTTCAAACATACACACGCAGACATACAGACTTCTTTTTTCAGTGGAACCATTTCAAAGTAAGTGGTACACGTCATGATACTACAGTCAACTTCTAAAAATGAAGACATTCGCTTCTGTAACCACAATACATTATCATGCCTACCCAAATGAACACTCATTCCCTAATACCCTCCAAAACCCAGTCTACAGTAACATTTTCTCAAATGTCTCCAGAATGTTATAGGTACTTGTGTTTGAATCAGAATCTAATCAACAATCACACTTTACATTTAGTTGTTACGTCCCTAGTCTTGTTTAATTTAGAAGAATTCCCTACCATTCATTTTTTCCATGACATTGAATTTTTTAAAGAAACCATGCTGGGTTTTTTATTGAATGACCTCCAGTCTGGGATTTCTCTGTTTCTTAAACTGCATTTTTAATATATTTGGCTTAGAGAGGCAAATGTTTATTTTAGGAATAATGTCTGCAAGTTAGGCCCCCAAATTATCATTAATCTATAGGCAGCTGAGATTCGATGGAAACAGCTGCAGATTAGTTAACTTAATACAGGTACAGACTAATCTAGACGAATCTAATGATAAATTTATTTCCCATTTAACACACGAATGCTTTAAAAACCAGGTTGCTAGAATTTGTGGCACTCTCATTTCTGTGACATGATAGAAAATTAAACAGGCATTTTCTATGCAGAAACAAAAGCTGATTTATTAGGAAGATGAATCAATTTTGCACATTTTAATTGGATTTAACCTTCTAGAGCAAGAAAAAGGGACAGAAATGACTCTGCAGAGAATATGGAGACCACACTGTTATAAGGCAGGCAAGTGAATGAGAACTGTTCTCAAAACAGAGATGACTGTGAAGAAAAATGAAAAACAGCAGAAAAGTGCCTTAAACTTTAGAAGTTAAGAAAATACATGAAGTCCTAGAAAGTTACTATTTGGGCCAGACTCGGTGGCTCACTCCTGTAATCCCAGCACTTTGCGAGGCCGAGGAAGGCAGATCACCTGAGGGTGGGAGTTTGAGACCAGCCTGGACAACATGGTGAAACCCTTTCTCTATCAAAAATACAAACTTTAGCCACATGTGGTGTTGCGCTCCTGTAATCCCAGCTACTTGGGAGGCTGGGCATGAGAATCTCTTGAACCTGAGAGGTAGAGATTGCAGTGAGCCGAGATTGCGCCCCTGCACTCCACAGGGATGACAGAGCGAGACTCTGTCTCAAAAAAAAGAGAGTAATTATTTGTATTTTAGAAAAAGCCCTTTGGCTATTCATTCTGATTGTATCCAGCCTATGAAAACTTCACTCTCTTTAGCAGAAAGAATGGAAAGGGAGTGGGAGTGAAATGTCTTGCCCATGTTTCAGTGGTGCTTCCTCACGCTTCGCTTTCTGGGTTGGACGTGTGTTCAGTACAGGAACGGAGAACTGGTGCTCGATGGGGAGATGGTGCAGTAACTCAGCTGCTGCCTCATATTTAAAGCGTTAGGAGAATGACTGAGAACCTGGAGAAAAGGCTGTCACGTTAAAGTAACACTTGATCCAGACAAAGGTTTCAGTTTCAGAGAAAGAGGCAAATTGGACCAGAGTAATCTGGTCTATGAAGTAAGAGGCTCACAGTAAGATTGTGCTGAGGCTTTTGGTGAAAAACGGACCCACATGTATTCATCTTTTTCCTTTGTGCAACTCTTTAAAATGACAAGAATTAACATGCACGGACCAAGGGAAGGGACAGAAGAAAGCAGTGGAGGAGAGATGTTAACGAATTTTTGGAGGACAGGCACATGGAGGCATCCTGCCAGAGAAACCTAATCTGTGTTCCCATGAGGCAGGTAACAGAAGTGAGTCAGTGCAGCCCCCAGCAGCCAGCGGAGGCTAACCCTCCAAGCCCATAGGATGCGAGAGACTGAGCGAGACGGAGGGCACAAAATGGGGCAAGTGGCCTGAAGTCTCCATCTGGAGTCGGGAATTCCAGGTTCCCTTCTTTGTTCCACCGCACAAGAGAGCAGAGGTCATTCTCTGAAAACACTGAAACTGGTCAGGACAAATGCTGAGCAAGTCCACTAGGCTCAGTGCAATGCGGGGCCAAGGTACAGAGTGGGCAAGGGCAGATACTCCTGCATCTGGAATCCAGCAATCAGATGTTTATCCCTCCCCTGCTCCCTCCCCAGCTGGGAGGGAGAACTGAGGATTCTTCTCTGGAGAAAATGATGGGTCCCAAAGAAACAGATTCCAGATACTGAGGACTCCAAAGGAGGGCTCAGGAAAGACAAGTGAGACAGGAGGTTGGTAGGACTGGTTTTGCAAGGTATAGGCCACAAAGACCCCACTGATAAAACAAGGTGTGGCAAAGAAGCTTGCTAAAACCTATCAAAACCAAGATGGCAATGAAAGCGACCTCTGGTTTTCCTCACTGCTCATTATACACTAATTATAATGCATTACCATAATAAAATACACTCCCACAGCACCACAATGCCTAGCCAACACCTGGAAGTTACTTAATACGATCCGAAGGGAGGAGAGCCCTCAGTTCAGGGAATTCTCTGCCCCTTTCCTGGAAATCTCATGAATAATCCACTTCATGTTTAGCATCTAATCAAGAAATAATCCGAAGTTTACTCAGTCAAGCAGTGCATGGCTCTGCTCTGCCTGTGGAGGAGCCATTCTCTTATTCCTTTACTTTCGTATTAAACTTGCTTTTACTTTACTCTGTCAGCTTGCTCTTGAATTCCTTCTGTGCAAAGCCAAGAACCCACATGGACTTCCAGGCCGAACCCCAATTCTGGGGTTCACCCTGTGACTAAGGGAACTAAGGATCTGTCCAAAATGGTGCCCTTAGGAAGAGGCAGCGCTCATCACCGGTGAGAGCGGAGGAAGAGGAGGTGCATTTGTAACACAAAGAACAGGAACACTATCTTTGCCTGCATTTCAGGAAGCAGAGGGAGACTTGGCCACCTGGAGATGTCCTGAGGAGGGCGGGACACACAAAGGTACAAGACAAATGTGCAAGTTTTAAAAGGGCCTTCACGAGAGCAAAATGCCAGAAGACAGCCTCTCCAAGCAGAAAGTGATCGCCATTCCCACAGTCACCCTGCCGGTGAGTTCATTCCTTGGTCTGTGCATGAGCCCATTTGCCCATCCGCTTGTCTGTTTACCTGTTCGTACATCCAGCCATCAGTGACAGAGTGTCAAGTCATGTGCTAGTGCAGGAGAGAGGTGCAGTGAGTAGCAGAGCCTTGGGCCCCAGTCTGTCCAAGTAGAGTTTCCAAATAGCTGGACTAAAAACGGCATATCCCATCAGATGTTAATTATTTTGTAAAATTAGATGTTTTAAGAATTAGGCGATGACGATTTTCTTAACGTCAAGCATGTAACGGAAAGCACTAAAGGTACTAAGAAGAAAATACACCTGCCACTCCTGGCCAACCATCCTTAATTATGTTTCTTGAGTTTTTTTCTATGTACACTTATAAATATATAATATGTACTCAATCACAACATTACATTGCTATGATACTTATGCAAACATGGTCATACCTTGCCAGAATCCTGTATCATTTTGACATTTTCAGAACCAAATTTATCGGAGTACAGTTTAAGGAGTCTCTGAGAAATTTCGGACAGAGGTGTGAGTTTGGGCTCCTTGTAAATATACTCCTTTCCGTCTTCATCTTCAAAGAATCCCTGTGACATAAAGCACAATTAGCGCTATCCCTGAATGTAAGCCCAAGGCTTACCATCTAGGAAGGGTTTTTTGTTACAAGGGTAAAAAAAAAAAAAAAAAGGAATGAGTCTAAAAATCATACGTAAACAGGTTTTCTGAATGAGAAAGAAAATAATAACATGAAGTCTAGGTGCAAAGATAAAGGAAAAACACAAGATTGCAAACTTATTCAAGAATGCAGTCATTAAGTGTTGAGCGAAATGAGAAATTTTGGATACAAGACTGTGCTGACCTAGGGAAGTGTAGTGATGGGAGTCAAGCCTGTTTCACTTTCCCAAGAAGCAGAGCTCACTAGAGAATGATCAGCAGCCCGCGAAGGCAGGCTTGGAAGTGCACACGCCTCCCTTCTCCTGACAGCACCCATGCACACAGGATTTTCCAGCATGAACTGAAGCATTCGGGGGTCTGGAGTAGGTTTGGTAAAAGTTATGTACAGCTTGTATAAATTGTATTTTGCTTTACCGATGAGAAAAACATATTAAAGACCTGTAGCTCAGTATCACAAAGTATTTTCATATTACCGGTTGCCATCTGGTTTAGCACCATCTATGTTTGACTACAAGGCTTAGAATTGCATGGGAAGTGAAAAAGGTTGAAAACTAAAAAGTTCAACTGGGGTTAATGTTTAAAACACATTTTAAAAAAGTTTCTCATCTAAATTAAGCAAGAGAAAATGGTGGACAAAACAGTAAAAAAAAAAAAAAAATGCAGGCTAGCATGAAACAAAAAACATCCACATCAAACTAGGAGTTTAGATGCAGTCATTTTGCTATATTACTTGCTTTTTAGGCATTTACTGTAATTACCTCCACATCTGTTTCACTGTCTGTAAACTGGTATTGCTATAAAGTTATAAAAGACAATAACAGAATAAATTGAAGGTTATATAAAGCTCATAGAAAACCACACACCCTAAATAAATGTATTATAATTTACACCACTTAATAATGTTAGAGGCTCAAAGGTTAAAATTTAAGTTAAATTTAGACAAACCCTTTCATACAGGGTTTCTGAAATACTATAATAGTAAATATGCTTGTGGAGATATTATATTACAAAAGGTAAAGATGCACAGGCACAAAGGACACCTGAAAGTCTTGATTCTGGTTTAAAACATGCAATACAGATGTATGAGAAGACAGGTGATTTATTTCTGTAAATGGAATAAAATGTTAACTTTTTTGGAGTTTGTAATGACTAGACAGATATACATACAGACTTGAAAAGGAAACTTGCAAACCACACTGAAGTACCAAAGATGTCGCTAAGAATGTCTTATGGAGGAAGAACTTACCGCTGCCTTAAGAAAGTAACAAAGAAAAGACAGGAAGAAAGAAAAAAAGCAGAAAGTTTACTACTCAGGAAGATAGAATCATATGAAATATGACAAATTCATCAAATTAGCATTTACAGAAAGCAGAAAATTTATAAGATATAACTTTATTATATATATATATTTTTTAATATATATATTTCTTAAGGACTCAGGACAGTCTGCAGAATGGACAGGAGACTCACCTGCCCGAAGAAGGCTACCCGGAAGTAGGTCCCCAGAAGCCTGCGGCCCGAGTGCATGACCTCAGTCACTTTGCTGTAGGCCCGGTGCAGCGTGTCATACAGATGGGCCAGCCTCTGGAAAGCAGAACAAAGCCCATTTCTTCCCATGTGCAAATAGGAGAATTGATTTTAAAATAACAAATGTGATAATGGAGGCAAAAAGTTCTTGAACTTGAATAAAAATGCGCGTGCGCGCGCGCACACACACACACACACACACACACACACACATTTCGGCAGCACAACTTGTAGTGATTATTAATGAATGGTAACGTTTCCTACCCAAAGGCCAGCCCACATGTGAGGAGTCATCACATTTCCACATTATAGCAAGCAAATCCTGTTTTCTTTTTTTTTTTAGACGGAGTTTCACTCATGTTACCCAGGCTGGATTGCAATGGTGTGATCTCGGCTCACCGCAACCTCTGCCTCCTGGGTTCAGGCAATTCTCCTGCCTCAGCCTCCTGAGTAGCTGGGATTACAGGCACGCCCACCATGCTCAGCTAATTTTTTGTATTTTTAGTAGAGACGGGGTTTCACCATGTTGACCAGGTTGGTCTCGATCTCTCGACCTCGTGATCCACCCGCCTTGGCCTCCCAAAGTGCTGGGATTACAGGCTTGAGCCACCGTGCCCGGCCGCAAATCCTGTTTTCAAGTTAAGGGGCGATGTCAGAGATGGCTCTCCAATGTGATTCTTGGCCTTTGCTTTGCCTGCTCCATTTGATATGCCTATGGATGACCTCCCAAGCCCAGGAGGGCGGAAGGGACACCATTTTTCCATGCAGGTGTAATAAGAAAAAGTTATGAGAAAAGAGACACCTGGTGATCACAGAACTTTGTTTGTGGCAGCCTTTCAAAAGTGGGGTCCAGGTGGTTACCCTGCAGTTTGAGATGTGGGGGGTCTCCACAGAGGTGGGGCCCAGGTCTGGGTGATACCTCATGACCCTTTGGAGGTAGTGACTGGCCACCACCTTCAGCATATTGTGGAGGGTCAGAAACCCCCGCTCATTACTGGCCCGTGCCCTGCTTCCTCTCTTGCATATATGCAGGTGTGGGTATATGTCACAGTGTCAGACTCTCAAATACGAAAAAACACAAAGCCACTCCCATACCTCGAAATCCCTCCGCTTCTCATAAATGGGGATGATGAGTTTGTAGATGTCTGCGATGAGCTCATAGCGCTCAGCTTTCCAGAGTCCATCTGCACACTGCTCAAGGAGCTCCATCAGCACGTCCTGATCAAAGAGGTGGGCCATCAGCCAGAGAGGAGCATTGCAGGGAATGTGATATGGCACCCCTCGCAGAATGCATAAGTGCTAAGACCGCGGGGAGGAACTTTTCACAACAGACCACATGTGTCAACCCTCACTTTCACACTGGTAACAACATTCTTTTTTAGGGAGCCATTGTTTCAATCATCATGGTCACAGCAAAAACAAAAGAGGATCGCCCTACAACTGTGCAATAGATACGTACATGGAAACAGTGCTCATACCATCACAGGGCTCTCCATTTTTGTTCCTAGTTCTCTTAATAAATATCATCTAGCAATTTCTTTTTCTCTTCTGAGGAACAACGACAATGCTAAGACATGAATATTACTAAGCATGACTTTAACCCACATTAGAGGGATTTAGCAATGGAGTGTGGTGGGTACTATACCTGCTTCACCTTGGAAATTTCTACCAACTGAAGTTTGGGTAGTTACTCTGTCTCCTCTAAAGCCCTTGAACTTTACATGACCCATGGCTCAAGAACTGTGGCCTGGGCTTACACTAATCAGCACAAATCTATTTCCTGGCCACAGTCACTGCTTCATCATAGGTGGACATGTGACCTAAGCGGGCCAATGAGGGTGAATTTTAGGACCCTGGTCTGAAATTCTAGAAAATGCTCTCACCAGACTGCAGCTTGGATGAGCTAACATTCATCTCATGGCCACGGAAGTACCACGTCTGCCTAAGTACCAGAGTGAAGGGCCTCCCTTCTGCTGCCCAGCAAAGTGATCATGTCATGAATCACTCTGTTAAAGGTTTGGATTGGTTGATGTTAATCTCTCCATGAAATTTCCTAGTGGGATCCAATACTTGACCTCCATTGTTTAAGCCCATGTTAGTGGGTTTCATTAATGATGCTGAATAAATTTTAATTTGTTATATATAGCATTGGTAAAGTGTCTATTCAAATCTTTTCCTCATTTTTCTACTGGGTTGCTTATTTTATTATTGGATTTTGAGAGGTCTTTATATACTCTAGATAAAAGTCCTTTACTAGACATGTGATTTGCAAGTATTTCTCCCAATCTGTAGTTTGTCTCTAGGTTCAAAATTTTTTAAAAAATTTATTTTAGCATTTATTTTGCTGGGTCTTGCTCTGTTGACTAAGCTGGGGTGCAGTGGCATGATCTTGGCTCACTGCAACTTCTGCCTCTCGAGTAGCTGGGCATGCACCACCACACCTGACTAATTTTTTGTATTTTTAGTAGAGATGGGGTAAGTAGAGACAGGGTTTTGCCGCGTTGGCAAGGCTGGTCTTAAACTCCTGCCCTCATGTGATTAGCCTTGGCCTCCCAAAGTGCTGGGATTACAGGCATGTGCCATAGTGCTCAGCCTAGCTTTAGGTTTTCTTAACAGTATCTTTTAAAGAGCGGAAGTTTTTAATTTTACAAAGTTTAATTTATCAAGTTTTTATTTTCTGGATTGTGCTTTATATGTTATATCTAACAAGTATTTATCTAACCCACGTTCACAAAGATTTTCTCCTATGTTTTCTTCTAAAAGTCTTATAATTTTACATTTCACATTTTAGACTATGACACATTTTGGGTTTTTAATGAAGTGTAAAGATTCTTTTTTTGCATATGTATATCCAATTGTTTCAACACCATTTGATGAAAGACTATGCTTTCTCTATTGGATTGCCTTTGAACCTCTGTCAAAAATTAACTGATGACGTGTGTGGGTCCATCTCTGGACTCTCTGTTTTGTTGCATTGATATATGTGTCTACCTTGTGCCAAACTATAGAATATTTTTTATTCTATTGTAAATAGCACTGTTTTTAAATTTTGCTGATTATTTTAAAGGAAACTGCTTTGTTTGAATAAGATTAACTATCATCTAGCTTATTTGTTTCTAAGAATTATATTAAATAATCATGAACTATATAGTAAAAACATAGTGTAAGAATGAGGAAGGCTGATTTTTGTATGCTAATCTATCCTGTGATCCTGCTAAACTGACTTACAAACAGTTTTAGTAGCTTCTTTTCCGAATTCTTTGGGATTTTCTCTTTACAACTATGTCTTATGTGAACACGGAAAGATTTATTTCTTTTTCTTGCCATACTACATTGGCTACAACCTCCAGCATGATACTGAATAGTCAGTCAAGCAGGTATTATGATCTTGTTTCCAATTGTAGGGGCAAAGCATTCAGTGTTTTACCATTAAATATGATGTCAGCTATAGGTTTTTTGTAGACAGTCTTTTTATTTTCAGATTAAGGAAGTTCCTTTCTATTCCTAATTTTTTTTTTTTAAATTACGAATAGATGTTAAATTTTGTCAAACACTCCTAATGCGTCTACTGAGATAATCATATGGCTTTTCCTATTTATTCTGTTAATATGATGAATTAATTTGACTGGCTTTTCAAATGTAGAGCCAACTATGCACTCCCAGAATAAACCCTATGTGGTCATGATGCATTTTTCTTTTTTATGTATTGCTAGACTCAACTTACTAATATTTTACTAAGGGTCTTACAGTTGCTTTTGAAACATGTTTATATCTTTCATAATACTGTAAATGAAGGGCAAGTCCTGTGTTTTTCATTATCAGCCCTAATGTTTCTCTACAGGCCTAATGCCTACAAAGTTTACAGATTCAAAGTAAAAAACATTTTTAAAGTAGTTGTGAATCAATTGGCCAGAAAACGCTATCTAAGCAGGACCATTTACCTTCCATTGTCGTATTTATAGCACACAAGTCATAAAAGTGTCGTTTGTGTGACTGAACTCTGTACCGTCCTTACTAAAACGTACATCAGTTTTCTCCTGCTTTTATTGCAGGTCTCATAAATGCACACACTAAAGCCAGATATATGTAGTAACCACCATAGCAGCAAAAGACACAGAAGAAATCAGAAAAGGTTTTAATATCAACTCTTTTCCTTTTTATCTATATTATAAAGATGTATGCCTTTTTTTTTTTTTTTTTTTGAGACAGAGTCTCATTCTGTTGCCCAGACTAGAATGCAGTGGTGCAATCTTGGCTCACTGCAACCTCCACCTCCTGGGCTGCCTCAGCCTTCCAAGTAGCTTGTATTACAGGCATGTGCCACCATGCCCAGCTAATTTTTATATTTTTAGTAGAGGCTAGGTTTCATCATATTGGCCAGGCTGGTCTCAAACTCCTAACTTCAAGTGATCCAACCACCTTGGCCGCCCAAAGTGCTGGGATTACAGGCGTGAGCCACTGCACCTGGGCAGATGAATGCCTTTCTTAGTTTTGTCTCAAATCTTTTCCAATAGACAATCTATCCATGCTAAGCATAACAAATTTTTGATTCATTTCATGTTTCTCTGATTATAAAAAGCTAGAAAAAGCATAAAAATTATCAATATAATAATATAAGCATAAAAATTATCAATTATCAATATATATTTTTTTAATATATTTGTAAAACCAGGGAATGTATTTTAGGTCTAACCTAAACTGGTGTTTGTGAAGATCACATAAAACTTTACCCATCACAATGGTCTGAAAACTGTAAATTCTGTATGTTAATTCACAGGCTAATTAAATAAGCCTGTTTTATTACAATCATCACTTTCTTTCTTTTTTGAGGTCTTACTCTGTTGCCGAGGCTGGAATCCAGTGGTGCAATGACCATGGTTCACTGCAGCCTTGACCTCCCAGGCTCAAGTGATCCTCCAGCCTCAGCCTCCTGAGTAGCTGGGACTACAGATACATGCCACCATGCCCAGATAAGTTTGTTTTAAACTTTTTTATACAGACGGTGTCTCCCTATGTTGCCCAGGCTGGTTTCAAACTCCTGAGCTCAAGCAATCCTCCAGTCTCTGCCTCCCGAAATGTTGGGATTACAGGTGTGAGCCACTGTGCCCAACCACAATCATCATTTCCTACTTTGTATTAATTAAACAAAAAACAAAACTTAGGCTTGTCACAGTGGCTCACGCCTATAATCCCAGCATGTTAGGAAAGCAAGGTGGGCAGATTGCTTGAGCTCAGGAGTTCAAGACCAGCCTTGGCAATGTGGTAAAACCCTGCCTCTACAAAAAATACAGCTGGGCATGGTAGCACATGTCTGTAGTCCCAGCTACTTGGGAGACTGAGGTGGGAGAGTGGCTTGAGCCTAGAAGAAGGAGGTTGCAGTGAACTGAGATCGCGCCACTGCACTCCAGCCTGGGCCACAGAGTTAGATCTTGTCTCAAAATAAAATAAAATAACCTTAATTTTTATTGGGCTGTATAATCTATGTAATCACACAGTGCCACATACACACTGGGTAGTCCAGTATCTATTGGATGAGTGAATAAACGTGTACTGTGTGTGTGTGTGTGTGTGTGTGTGTGTGTGTGTGTAGGGACAGGGTCTCACTATGTTTCCCAGGCTGGTCTGGAACTCCTGGGCTCTCATGATCCTCCAGCCCCTGCCTCCCAAAGTGCTGGGATTATAGGTGTGAGCCACCACATCTAAATACCATTTGAATACAGGCTATTTTTACTCTTGTTTAGTCAAATTAGAAACAAGTGAATAGTTTAATAATAAAACCTGAATTTAAGTAGCATATAAGTATTGATATATGATATATATATATATGTAATATGATATAGATAATTGAGTTCATTATGGGAGAACCTGTTATATTTGGTAAAAAGAAAAGATGGACTTCAACAAGGGAGAGCCTCCAAAATGGCTGGGAAACAGGAAAGTTGATAAAGTGAATAGAGTTTAGTAAGTAATTATGAAATAAGCCTCACAATTTGATGGGTATCAAGAATTAGGAAATAACACATCATTAACTTTTATGCTCTACTGAACATTATTTTACCTTCTTTTCTGATTCAAAAGCCATTCAAATTCTATAGTTTAGCAGTCCAAATATCACTTATTATTGTAAATAAGTGGTATTTTATACTATAAAAAGCAGAGTTAGCACAGATTTCATGCAATAACAAACTAAAAATGACTTTTATATTTAAAAAAGTCCA